TTTACATAATTTTGTATAAACATTTTTGTAAAATTATGCATAAAAAATTTTTCATCAGATAGTGAAGGCGGGAAGATACATGTACCTTCTTAAATATATACTATTATTATATTATATAAATACCTCTATCGAGTAGTTGTTTTACAACATCTGTATCGCCTTGAGCAGCGGCCACGCTAAGAACAGTTCTACCTTCATTATCTATGCTGTCAATGTAGCAACCCCAAAATAGTAGAAGAGCAACGACAGATCCGTGCCCCATACTCGCGGCCGCCCACAAAGGCGTCCTTCCTGTAACGTCACAATGATCTACATCGGCTTCATATTCCAATAGTAATTCACAGACGTCTCTATGACCTTCAAATGCTGCGACTAATAATGGGGTCATTCCATCTTTGTCTTCATGATCAACGACAGCACCTCGCTCTAAAAGTATTGTAACGACCTGTAATAAGCAACAAATAGTTTCATTAACGATATACAGGGTATCCCATTTTAAAAGATGTACCCTGATAATTCATCAGCCAAGCATATTCAGCAAAAATATTTCCAATAAAAGTTGTTGGGTTGGGGGACATCTGAAAGTGACATTAACTTTGACCTTGTAGATCATTTTGAAAATTATTCGAAAGTCAACTTTGCTTTTTAAATAGAAACATCTATTTTTTACGGAATTTTATTCTACATAAAGAATTTAACAATTTTTTTTTTAACTTTTTATACGACCTCTATTTACTAAGATATTTACGGAAACATCTACAAAATTATTGGTTTCAATAGTTTTTTACTCGAATTCTATCAATGAATTCTATCAACTTATTGCTGAAAAATAGTTGCAAATAAAAATTGTTTATTTTCTTCTCATAGAGCTTTGAGAATTTTTTTAGAATATTTTATAAACTTTTTAGTACTTTAAGAAAATGCATGAAAATGCAATATTAAGAAGTTAATTAAAAAATTCTGAAAAAATTTTCAGAGCTCTATGAGAAGTATATAAATAATTTTTATCTCGCACTATTTTTCGATAAAGTTGATAGAATTCGAGTAAAAAATTTTTGAAACCAATTATTTTGTAAATATTTCCGTAAATATCTTAGATATTATAATAAAAGTAGATATTATAATAATTATAATAAAAGTATAAAAAATTTTTCAAACAATAGTTGTTAGCTTCTTTACGTACAATAAAACTCCGTAATAAAAAATAGATGTTTCTATTTATAAAGCAAAGTTGACCTTCCAATAATCTTTAAAATAACCTGCAAGGTCAAATTCAAGGTCACCTTCAGATGTCCCACTCTGAACTCGACAACTTTTGTCTGAAATCTTTTTGCTGAATATGCTTGGCTGAAAAATTATCCGAGTGCATCTTTTAAAATAGGACACCCTGTGTACAGAATTTGTTCAAAATCATAGAGCGCGTAATTAAATATAAAACATTTTTCATATATAAAATGTTGCGATTTAAAAAATAATATATATATATATATATATATATATATATATATATATATATATATATATATACCCTGATAGCACAGAAGGTTTCAGTTATGTTGCAGTTCAATGTCTCAATTGTGTATCATCACATTTGTAATGTCTATGAGACTATCGTTTTTGAGACATTGCAATTGCAATATTTCTGCAACCATCTTGATTGAAACGTTTCGTTTGAAATGTTCCTGCAATGTAATATTTTGCAACATTACAAACGCAAGGTTTCTGAGAAGTTTCTGAGACCTTGCAACTAATAAATGCGCGCGCATATCATATTGTCGTGAAATTACCGTAGCGCCGCGATCAACGACTTAACGTACACTGTACCTAACCTACAGCTGTATTGGCCCACGATCTAATCCGAATTTGTTATACACAGAATCTGCTGAGGAATTTACTAAAAATCTATAAAGACATTTGTCTCACGTAAAAAGTATGTACTATACGTATTATAATAAATATATAAATAATATATATTGAAAAACAGTAGTTACATGTAATATCACGCGCGATGGCTTGTATTTTTAATAAAGGAATTGTAAATTGGTCGTTATAATAAGAAATATACATATACCTATACAGCACAAATCTTCAAAGGATGTTCTAAGGACATTCATACATCCTAAGAACGTCCCAGAATATTCTCTGAAGATTTTGTGCTATCTGGGTATGTACCCAGAAAAGGTTAGATTCAGATTTTTATTTAAATAAATTAAATTCCTAATTC